ATGGCACTGCCTGGCCTTCTAGCCATATGCTTCTGTGTGAGGTGCTGCTCAGTCTCCTGGCTGTCTGGCTTGGAGCTGGCCACAGCCCCGAGGCAGCATAGCCTTAAATTCTATATTAGTTCCCTGGATCTGCATTTCCTCAGTTCTTGGCTTGCTACTCTCCAGCTTATATTAACTGACACGTCCAGAGAGATGATTTGTATGTTTATCCTCATCAGGAAAACCTGGTTAAATTACCTAGTCTGCTCTGTTCTCCACCTCTCATTGCTCATCATAGTTAACTTTTTGCATTTGTTTTTCTTTACATCACCAGGACAGAAGTGTCCTTCTTTTCCCTTAAGCTCTTACTGGTGTGACCTGGTCTCCTTTAGTGCCACCTTGTCTAGAATTGTAATGCATCTTCAATTTCTCCTTTGACACTGCAGCCTTCCCCACCGACATGGCCCACTGCCTTTTATGAAAAATATAGACAAGAAATATAGACATTCCAGCCACTATCCTAAGTGGTACAACCAGTATTTTTGGTGAGCATTATTTGTAAAACAGTTTATCATCATCTGTCCCCAGCCAACTCCAGACTGATGTTGACAAGTCTGCTCAGACGAGTGTTCCCATCTTGATGGAGCTGCTTAGCCAGAACAAGTTTACACATCAGTGGAGCACAGTAAAGGGGAAAAATAAAAATAGTGGTATAACTGGAAATTTGTAGTGCTTTAAATGATGCATCGCAGCCTGAAACTTTGCTATAAAAATTCTCTCTCCATTGTTCTGATGTGCTTTCCTCCCCTCTGTTGTCAGAGAATTTAAAGGGGCAACCTGCCAGGCCTGGAAGAGGCCAGGGGATCAGCCAGCCTGAGTTTGAGGCCAGCCTGGGCTGCTTAGTGAGCTCAAGGCAGCCTAAACTACATAGCAAGACCCTGTCTAAAAATCTATATATGGTGGCCCATTCCGTAGAATTCCTTGGTTCTAATTCTGGGTTTTTCTGCAGTGTTTGTCATGACTCCTTCCCTCTCCCTGAGCTCTCTCCCCCGTCTGATTCTGAGATGTTTGATGTTCTTAGCGCCCCTGCCTCAGGGCTCTTGCTCAGGTTTCATTCCTTTCTTCTATGTTCTAAAGGAAGGACTTCTACCACCTGTTGGTCCTCTTCTTTCTTCGTCTCATTTCTTTTCTTGATAGACTCTCTGCCCTTGTAAATTCTTGGCTTCCACTATTCTTTCTGTATGAGGACACCCAGATCTAAATATCTGGCTCTCAGCAGGGTTTCACTTTTGCATTTCTGAATGCAATTTCTGAATTTCTGTTTTTTTTTTTTCTTTCTATCTGCATGTCCTAGAAGTCCTTCAAAAATATTTAAAAAGTTGACTCATACTTTCTATCCACAAAGTTCCTCTTTCTTCCAATTCCCCAAAGTCTGTTAATACCATGATTACATCTGCACTCAGTTTTTCCTCTACTGTGAGTGTCCTTCCTTTCAACTCCACTTGTTCAAATCCGGTAAGACTTTGAAGGCCTCCTCTATAAGAAAAAAAACATTGACTCATGTTTTTCAAAAAGTGTGGATTTCAGCACTAACAGACATAGTTCAAATACTAGCTATGTGACTTTGAACAGAGTGTTTACTGTGAACTTGTATTTTCTCATCCATAAAATGGGAGTAAGGGTGACTCACAGCTTTATCGATGAGATTAGTTATTTATGTTTGTGTACTATTTCTTTTACTATACTTTACAACCTTCCAAACAAGGTTCATTTCTGATTAATCATTATAGCCCCAGATACTTATTAAATAGTGATCAAATGAATAAGTGAATGAAAATTGCACAGTTTGCCGATGACATGGTGCTGTCAGCATTTTATTTACCAAATCAAACTTACTTCATTTTGTTCAGTTAAATATTGTCTTATATGCAGTCACTACTTGACACCCTTATTTTAATTTCTACCTAACTGAATGACCTGGCTTAATACCAAATAGCTGTTAAGATATAATCATGGGCTTTAAGATATAATGATGGGCTTCTAGATTGATCTAACTTCAGTTTGTAGTTGCTGAAAAACCTGAATAATGGTCTAGTGTGTTTAAGTGTGTAGGCAACTGCCTGTGGCTGGAAAGATTTCAAAATCCCATCTCCCTTTTTTATTTTTGCATAATTTATCTGATAATTACTTTATCTCTTCACTTCTCTTGATCTTTGTTGAACAGCCTCTTGGGTCCTAGCAGCCACCTGTCCCCTACACTTAGTCTCATTTCCTGTTCTGACCTTCTATCCTTCTTCTTAGTCTTAACAGTGAGTGAGGTTGGCTGTAGTTGCCCTGAATAAACAAGCCCTGATTTGGGAAGTGGTCCTTCTCCAGGAGCACGTCAGGCCCAATACTCTGTGAGAGTGGACATACCGAACAGCTTGCTCTCTCTTGGCATCTCAGACACAGCTGAACACATTTGGCTGATGCCCTGGCAGTTTGGTTATTCATTCTCTGCTCTCAGCAGAGTGCAGGCCACCGGGCCATAGCTTGGCTCAACGCCCTCCTAGTTCCCTTGGCAGATGGTGTCTGGCAGCCACAGTATGTTTGCTCTTTTCACCCCTCACCAGTCTTGCCTATCAGGTAAATCCCTCAAAGGAGGAATATATGGGGGAGAGACATTGGCATGCATGGTGCATAGCTGGGGGGAATCTCACAATAAAGTTTTCCTTTAAAACACTGCATTAGGTTGAATAATTGTCCCCTGAATATATATACCAATGCTGAATGTTGCCCCTTCTCAAAATTCCAATACTGAAATCCTAATTCCCAAGTGATGATAATGAGGTGCAAGACCTTTGGGAGATGATGAGGCAGCCTTAATGTGACTGGACTTAATGACCCTCATGAATGAGAAGAGGGAATTAGCTAGTCCCTTCCACCAGGTGAGGACACGGCAAAAAGGTGCCATGCATGAAACCTACTCTCACAAGGCAACAAATGGCTGGTGCCTCTGGAACTGTAAGAGATAAATTTTTAAGTTAGCTTATGGTAATTTGTTATAGTAACCCTTATTTGGATAAAAAGGACTTTGTAGGTGTGACTAATAATTTTCCAAATAGAGAAAATATTCTGTATTATTTGAGTGGTTCCTAAATGCTATCATAGGTATTCTTATAAAAGAAATACAAAACAATGTTTTACACACATAGTATACATGTGCACACAAGGCAAACACACAAAGGCATTGTGAGGCTGGAGGTATCCTGGAGTAATGTAATGTGGTCATAATCCAAGAAATGCTGGCATCTATTAGCAGTAGGGAGAAGCAAGGATGGATTCTCCCCCAGACCCTCTGTGAGGAGCCTGACCACGTTGACACCTTGACTTTGGCCCAGTGTTGCCAGTTTCAGGCTTCTGCACTCCAGATCTGTGACAGGGTAAATTTACCAGTTTTTAACTACCAAGGATATAGTAACTTGCTGCAGTCACCACAGGGACACCACGTGCCCCGTGGCAGTCCTAGCCAATCATTCCCAAGCTCTGTTTGTCAAGGGCTGTCTGGCACACCATCCACAGACTGACTGTTCCGCAAGTCCAGTCATCTGTTCTAGATCTATATAAGGAAACTCCAGTCTCTGATTTGTGCCAGAATTGTGACTATTAGTCTCAGTTAGACACCTCCATCCTAGGGCTAGAAGCTCTCTTCATGGGATTCAGTTAGTTATTTTATCTGGCAGTCCAGAAGAGAGAACAAATTCACGTGCATTCAGTGATGCTGAGGGTCCCTTCCAGCATTCTGTAGTGCAAGGTCACCAGAGCATGCTCTGGTAGCCCCCATTCTTTAGCTCATAAACTTCTGTAAGCCCACAGCAATCCCCTTTCTTGTTATAGTCCAAGTATAAAGATAGTTAAAACATTCTATTTTCTGTAGCAACTGTGTGGCAAGGATGGCAATGGATGGGCAAAAGCTGTATTGGAGGCATCTTGGAGCCCCAATTCAGAAGTGCCCCAGATGCTAAGTCATAGTGGGTCAAACCAAATCTATTGAGCAGTTTTGACTGAGGCTTGGTTGCAGAGCACAGAAGCCATGTTAGGTAGTATTAGCTGAGATTTATTGCAAGGCATTATGTTGTGGACAGTGGCATTGTGAGGACAACAGGTTCAAGGATGAGCTTTTAGGAACAAGGCCATAAAGAGCTGCTCTTCCTGCCACCACCAGGAAGCTGCCTTCCTACCTGTAGAGTTGCCTACAGCTGCTGTAACCTTCACCCTCAGCATGGCTGTCCGATGCCCCACTTCTCTCCCCACTAACAAGGTCTAAATTCAAGTCTTACCTGACTCCTTGTTCCTGGAGGAATTTAAATTACATCTGAAACTTTGGCTGCAGGGAAACCTGGGAAATACGGTTTCCAGGGTATCTGCTTCTGCCTTCCAGGAGGAAAACTTCCCTTTGAGATGCATAGTGGAATCTTGATGGCATGGTTGGGGAGGAAAACAATCCATGATTTCTACATAATTGCTTTCTATGTGCAAAGCACTGCTCCAAGGAAAGAGGAGAGAATCTCACATGCCAGGGCCTTGCTTTCTCATGGGTGTAGACAGCAAGCTCACTGCGAAGAAACAGTCATTTTGGGACACTGGAAAGTGCTATAAAGAAGACAAATCCTTGTAGTGAGATAATGGGTGGTTAGGTTGCCTTAGTATGGTCTAGAATGGACCTGAGTTTCTTGTATTGAGCTGCCTACTGAGAGAGGCTGAGAGATGAACCTTCAAGAGGAAGGAAGAGCAGTGTACCTGGGTGATGTTCAGAGCCTTGTGGCTAGATGAGAGAGCAAGTACAAAGACAGAGGGCTGGGGAATTTGAATAAAGCTCAGAGATCTGGGGTAGATGGGAGCCTGATAAAGCACTGGGGGGCCGGAGGAGGTGTAGACCCAGATGAGTCAGAGAAGTTGGATGGAACCAGCAAGGACGTGATGGGATAGAGACAGAGATGAGTGTCATCACTGGCTCCATGTATTGTTGGTGACTCTTGCAGGGACAAGGTTTGACTGGAGCAGTTGAAAGAGAGGACTGCAAAGAGCAGTGATGGTGAATCCACACAACTCTTCACAGAAGTTGTAGACATGGCTCAATCCTGGCGAGAGCCAATGAGGTGGAAGAAAAAGTGAACAATGGCCAGGTAGGTGTCCTTGCAGAGTTAGGGGTGTGATTATCATGAAGAAGGCAGAGTGAACTGTGGCTGGTGGAAGAGGTCATGGAGGTCTAGGTCAGGACTCAGAGGCATAACTCTGCTGCAGCCCCTTGTGAAAGGCATCTCAAGTTCAAATGGGTTTTGTTAACTCCATCAGCAACACCCAGGGCGAGAGTCCAAGGTTCTTTAAAAAGGCATTTCTCTGTTGAGGGTAGAGAAACACTGCTTTTCTTTCTCTCCAGCCCATCCCACTCTGGGAGGTTCTGAAGGATCAAGTTCCTTCTTCTGATCCCCTTGTCTGAATGTCTTGCTCTGCATTTGTTTTACATGGGGCTCCCCCTGCCATCTGCAGGGACCCAGCCCACCCTTCTCTCTTGCCTCAGCACTGATCTGGGGCTTCTCCCAGGAATCAGGTTTTTTGGTCCTTTAACCTTTCCCTAAAAAATAAGAAAAAGTCTCCATACATATGATCTTAGCTACTAATAGCATGATTTGGTTTGCTTTTTACTTTCCAGGGCAGTTTTTTGGTAGAGACTTTCAAAGATTTCTAGAGTCATGAAATACCCTGGCCCAAAGAGAATTCTGTAAGCAAATCTGTTTTGGACATCTTGCATATGAAAGAGTCGGAAAAGTCCTGAAGTTAAAAATCCATTTGATTCTGCTTTACACCACATTTCTCAAATGCATTTGACCCCATAACAGTGCTTGGAAGAATGCCTTTTGGAAAATTTCTGCTTATGTAGCCTTCAGTTTGCCAGGAAAAGTGGTCATTCCATTTACCATCTGATCCAGCAGACCCTTTAGAAATCCTCCCACCCACCTAACAATGTGGCTGCTTTTCTGTGTTCTTGGGTGAATGATTTTGTACTTGCAGTTGTATTTCATTTGGAAAGGGAAAAAAAGAGTGTAAAACAGCCCTTCTAGAAATTGACACCAAAATTCACACACAAAGTCCACACTTTTACTCTGTATTCTCCAGGTTTTGAAGGTATATGTATGCAAACGGAGCAATAAATACCCTGAATGTAATCAACTGTCCATCAGCTGATGTGGAAATCTGCAACAATGTCTTTAATCTGCAACGTCTTTAATACTGACTCATTTCTAACGCACCTCTAGAACATTCTCACTTTTCATTGTTTCTGCCTCCTCATGTACTCAAAATCGTGAAATACATGGAAAAAATGTGAAGCCTTCAAAAATGTAGTTTGTTGAAAGGAGGGTGGTCATTTTTGTTTCATAACTGCAAATAATTTTCATTTTCAGATTTATAAACACCAATTAAGATGACTGATCCAACATGATATCTACTTTCCAGTCCCCTTCAAAATGCCTTCAATGTTTTCCCAGTTATAAAACATATCAGCTAGATTTCTGTGCACAAATATGATAAAGGATGGAAAATCACTGCCTTTCAGCAGATGACATGGTCCAGTTTCTTGAGATAAAACACTGCATAATGAAGTCTTTCTTGTGGGCTGACTAGATGAGGATATGGTATTTTCTTCTTCATAGAAATATACTGTTCAGCCATCAAATCCTCAGTTGGAGAAAACTTATCAGGTCTATTATCACATGTAGAATCATGGTTTGTGATTTCACTTACATGACCAATTTCACTGTCTTCATTTGAGTCTTGACATTTGCCATCTCTTTGTGTCCATCTTCTGATCCATCTAAGAATTATGAAATATCTTCCTGTATTTTTTGCTTTTAGCCACTATTGGCTTACATTTAACAATTCAGAGTTTTCAGCTGTGTTCAATGAAAGCTAAAAGCAGATTACAAGATGGGATCTTCAGTCTTCTTATTTTCTTAAAGATGATGTTACTCTTTTGACAAGGTAATAGAAAACTGGGAATGGTGCAGTTGTGATGATTTATGTGATTATTGCTTCATTCTGCTAGTCTATGTCAAGCCATCGCTCTTTTTTGGCGTAATTTGCCATAATTCATTAATAATGATGAAATAACAAAATGTTTCCAGGTACAGTGAAAATAAGAACCTCAGGATCCTTTAATGTAGCTGAGATGTGTAAAATGGTCCAATAAATAGGTATGATTATTGCAATATAGAATAAACCTTATTTTAAAAAGAAAAATAATTGGTTTTTTCCTTTGGAAAATTTCCGAGGAAGAATAGGAGCCCAGTAATACTAATCCTTATGAATAGCTAGACTACATAAAAAACTAAAAATACTGAAACTGGATTTAATGGATGCTGATAAGAGCTATTTTTTCTTCCATATTTTGACTTAAATGTAATTGTCTTAACACTTACTATGAATGGAAACAAGCTTTTCCCTCATGATAAAGAAGGAATTTCAAGTAAAGTACATTTTATATCTTATATTATACTCTATTTTTTACTTTTGACAATCTTTAAGACATTCATGACCTTTGTTTTCTTCCTTACTTCCTGATGTGCTCTTAATGGGTTGAGCTGATATACATTATGCAAGAAAATTCTGATTCATAGTGAGTAGAGTAAAAAAGGGCAAAAATGCTCTGATATTAGTTCCTAAATATATGTATGATGTTTTATAATGTTATTACATAAAAATTGCCAAGATTTTATTTTCCTGATATTTGAAATACTTATATTTTGTATTTGAACTGGTGTTTTTAAAAAAAATTTTTTTGATATCTTATTTCTAACATGTAAGTTAAAATAGAAGCTTTCATCTTTTTTTTTTCAAATTCACATCCTACTATACAAATTTCTTTCACTAATAAGAAAAAAAGCACCCTGGATATAAGCACCAGCACATGCTTGTTTTCTTTCAAATTAGTTTTGAAGTGCTACAAGTGTAGGCTGCTAAAAACAAGTGTAGAGAAATTTGCAATGTACCCATTGTTTTAGGCTTTCTGGTGGGTTCTTGTGTTTCTGCAGCAGCTTTCAGCCAGTACACTGCCATGGTGGATGTAAATAAACAACACAGGACAAAGACTAGAACAATGGAGGGCTGTGTGCGATCAAGGCAGCAGAGGGCCACTAGGGACAAAGAGTGAGTCACAAGCATGCTTAACTCGTCCTCTGCACACTAAGACTTCTTTAGTCTTGTTTCAGAGGGAAAGTTTAAAATAGTCATTTTACTTATTAAGTTAAAAATAGCCATAGACACTGCATGCTTTTAACTTTTGCAGTGGTCCAAATCCCCGGGTCACTCTTGAGACACCTGTGAGAACTACAGGCTCAGTGGACAAGAGTCTGGCCTTTTGATGCTGGCTTGGGCTCTCTGGGCATGTGGGAGATGCAGGACTCATCCTTTCTCTTTGAGGGTTTGTGATGTAGAATCTTTGCATGTTGTGGGCTTTCTATTTTCTGTCACCCACAGTTAATTGCAATTTCCAAAACTGTAACACTCACACGCTTTCACATTTGTTAGGAATTAGTGCTCAGTGGTCAGCGACACACTTTTGGAACATCACACATGATGGGTCCTCCTGGTTTTGCTTGCCCCTGGCTTTGGGTTTGGAGGCTGACTCACTCCCTATCCTCTGTGGATTTTGCAGCCTCCTGGCCCCTGAGCTGCTCCAGAGCTGGAGGTAATGTAGAGGGAATGTGATTGGGAGCAGCCACCACCTGTGGTCATGGTTCTGCAGGGCCAGTCACATATACCTTCTCTGCCCCTGGAGTCACCACATCCATTGGAGTCTATGCAAACACATCCATTGGAGGGGTGCTGGGGATACAATAATAAGGAAGACAGAACACCCTCCTTCCAATTGCCTGGAAGAGATCTGGGCATCCAAAGATCAAATCAAAACCACATTCCTCACTTTTGCTTTCCCATGACATGCCTTTCTGGTTTGTTGGGATGAGAGCCCACTGTCAGCAACTTTGAAAAGGCTAAGCTCCCCCCAGGAGGCCCACCAGGAAGCTGCCCCTGGTTTATCTTGCAGGAATGTTCAGTGAAAACCCAGCTGAGAGCCTGAGACAAGGTTCTTCATCCTATGCACTGTCCCTGAGGATGTGAAAGTTATCCCAGATACTGACCAGTGAAGAGGATGCTGCAGTCCCAGCTCATGCATTGTAACCATGGCAACTGACAGGCCAGCAAGGAGGAAGCCCTCCTGACAGGACTGTGATTAATGCAACAGGACAGGCTGTTGCCACAGGCCATGGCCACTTCACTGTCAGCTTCAAGCTCAGGGACCTGGAGGTTGTGAGCTGGCATGTTCTGGGCTCACATGCAGACTCTTAGCCCTGTGCTTCCAATGAAACTGTGTCCAGAGGAGCCAAATGGGCACTGCTACCCAATACTGGCCTCACAGGCTGGTGGGGGGAGAAGAAGCAACCCACCACAAACCCCTGTAGCCCAGTGTAAGGTAAAATAATGCGGACCTGCCCATGAGCCATCAGCCCACCTGGCAAGACAGTGGCTAGAAATAATATGTTCAGGACCTGAGGGAACACCCCAGAATGCAAAAGCTAACCCTTCTACCTCCCATCATCACCAGTCAAAAAAAAAAAAAAAAGAGGGCATCTCAGTAAGCTCCGGCTGTTCTAGGAAAGTGCCAGAGATGAGATAGCTTATACTGCAGATACTTATTCTCACACTTCTGGAGGCTGAACATCTAAGATGTCAGCACTGGTGGGCTAAGTGGGGGCTCTTTTGGGTAGCAAATAGCACTTTCTAAGTTTATTGTCACATGGTGGGAAGAGACTGAGATTGCTCTCTTCAGTCCCTTTTATGAGGGCACTTACCCCTTCCACCCTCTGACTTCGTCACCTCCTGCAGGCCCCACCTGCTTCCTAATCCTGTCGTTTTGAGGATGAGGGTTCTAACCTAGGAGTCTTGAGGGAACACACATGTTCCACCCACAGAGGAGAGGATGATAGTCAGCTCTGCCATTTCACTTAGCAAACCTGCCAGGGAAGCAGCATCCTTCTTCCTATTTACAGAGGAGAAGCCCAGGATAAAGAATGCTGACAGGCCAATCAGCCGGTCAAAGTAGAGCTGGGACATCTACTAGGTAGGGTGC